AGAACTTGGACCCCAGTTTCCTCGGAGCTTGGAATGGATCGTTCACAACCAGTGCGAGGATGGGTCCTGGGATCAAGGAGAAGAAGATGTTCAACGGGTTTGCAGCACACTATCGTGTGTCACTGCTCTGAAAACATGGAACCGAGGGGAGTGTAGCATCCAAAGAGGTAAGCTCTTTCCCCTCTGGCATCTGTGAGAAAGAGAAACAGCGTTCTTCGTGCAGGTGTAAGCTTTTTAATGTCTCGGCTGCCACTAGTTCACAATAAACTTACAAAAGACATGAAAGCCATCTTGCATAGATTATTACAAGAGGGCAAATCATTGGATTTGGAGCTGAATTATGACGAATCTTTTGTTCAACATATTTGTGAACAGGGTCAGGAATTTCTTCAGAGGTAACTCCAAAGCTCTTGAGGTTCTTAAACAACAGTAACTTTTGTCATGATAATCAGGGTATCAAATGACGCGTTGGAGCAGTATCCGACCTCTTTCGTGCATATGCTTGAAGCGTTTCATGACCGTCCAAAGTGGCAACGTCTTCTCAGATATCAAAGTAGCAGTGGATCTTTATTCTCTGTAACACTGACGGCGTGCGCGTACATGCACACTGGAGACAGAAAGTGCCTTCGTTTCCTAAACGGTCTTCTTGAGGGCCCATTGACCAAACCAAACAAGAACTTGAGTCAGCTGCTGCGACTTATAGACTGGCTTGAGCATCTGGGAATCGAAAGGTTCTTTGAGAAAGACATCGAGCAAACATTGATTCAAGCTTTCAGGTAAACTTCTTATCACTCGGAAAGTTTAGTAACTTGTGAACAGATTTTGGAGGGGAAATGCCGCAGGTAGCGGAAGGCAACAACATCTAAAAAGCTTTGAAGATTCTGCTCTTTTGTTCCGGATTCTTCGTCGTCATGGCTACGAAGTCTCCCCAGGTAGAGTGAAGTGAAGATTTTTATATCATAGTGGCAGTAAAACAAGGATTTTCATGTGGCAGACGTGCTACATCAACGAACATTCTGCGAGACACGCGATTTAAAGGAGCTGTCTTTGGCATCACATTTTCTCTTTCCTAGTGAAAGCAGAAAAATGCTAGACTCGATTCCAATCATTGATGTCGCGAACCAAGAGGTTTACCTTTACTACAGTCCGATGTTCTTTCGCAAATGTTTTCTTTACAGACGACGTTTCCATGGTATAGTATACCGCATCGGGTCCAGCACATTGAGTACATGACTAAATTTATGGCAAGTATGGATTCCATAAGCATGAGGTATGCGACAGCTTCCCGTAAATTAGAAGAGGTTTCTAAAATTTCTATTCAAAATTTTCCAGTGAACGTGCTTCGTTACTGGCCTTCACAAAGTTCGACTTCAATGCTTGCCAGAAGATCTATCAGTCGGATTTGCAGCGCGTTATGAGGTAGCTGTGTTCGATGTTTTGCTTCTTTCCTATATAGCTTTTGAAACGCAGGTGGAACGGAGAGTGCGACTTCGGACGTCTGGGTTTTGCCCGACAGAAAGAAGTGTTCTGTTTCTTTACCGCCGCTGCAACCATGTTCCAGCCGGAACTCTCGATGGCTCGCATTGTCTGGGCACAGATGAGTGTTCTTACGACAGTCATTGATGACTTTATGGACACGCACGATTCTCTTGACAATTTGAGGAACTTTTGCACTGCCGTGAAAAGGTACTACACATCTAAAGACTTTTCAGTATGTATAGTTTTTGTGTCTTGTGCTATCACACAGATGGGATCCGTCCGCCTTGGAGCTGAACGAAGCCGCTAGGATTATTTTTCAAGGATTGTTTAAGACGGTTACATGGACAGCCGAGTGTGCTTCCGCTGTACAAGGCAGAGATATGACGGCTAACTTACGAGCTCAAGTAAGTACCTCTTGGCACCTCTAGAACACAGCCTTTCTAATTGGTTTTATCAGTGGGAAAGACTTTGCGATGCGTTTTTTCGCGAGGCAGAATGGAGGTTGACGAATCACTGTCCCAGCCTCGAGGAGTACATGGAAAACGGAATCACGTCCTTCGCGCTGGAACCCATCATCTTATCTGCAATCCTTTTCCTGGACGGGAAAGTTGAGTCGTCGGTTCTCGACCATCCGGACTGCATCAACATGTACGTGAGGGTCTCAACGATTGGGAGGCTGCTCAACGACATCCAAGGCTTTCACGTAAGCTTTCATCTTCTTATTTTTGGATGTTTACCCGAGATCTTTCCCATTCCAGCGCGAGAGCAGCGGGGGGGAATTCTCGTGGATTGCAATCTACATGAAGGAACACCCGGGAACGAGTGTTGAGGACGCTGTGGTGGAGATAAGAAAGATTCTGAATGCGACGATGGAGGAGCTGGTTGAGGACGTGCTCCGGCCCAGAGCAGTGCCCAAGAGATGCAAGCGCGTGTTTGAGAACACGATGAGAATTCTCAACTTTGTCTACCACAAGGGCGATGGATTCAGCACGGACGAGCTACGAGGCCACGTCAAGCAAGTTCTTTACGTGAAACTGGAATAATCTTTAACTGGCTGGGCTAAGTAGAAACAATCATTTAAAGATGTTAGAAATAATGTTTAAACTGTGCAATTATTTGGCAAATCTATCTTGAAGGACACAATATGGTACTTCAGCGTGAAGGCTGGGGGATGCGATGGAGCCACAGGTGTCAAGACGCTACTCCCTACGTTCCCATGTGGAAAAGGGTAGTGGAATCACCATGGATGGGCAACCTTGGTTAGCTTCATCCGCAACATGCTCTCCTGGATACTAGCTAACGACGGCACGGAACAAAGGTAAGTCTAACTGCTGAAATGCTGCCTTGTACTTGTGAGTATGTTCAGCTCGGCTTGCGGTAGCCTGGCCCTGGGCACACTCCCACTCTGGAGGGTGACCAGTCTGTCAAGCTCCTTAGACTGACCACATGTCACTCAAGGACACATGGATGCCACATGGCTACCATATGGCACTTTTAACTTCCCAATGGCTCGGCTACTTGGTGGAGCACTTAGTTCGGACAAGGGACCACTATCCACTTCCTAGCCAGACTAGAGATTAGCCTTGATTTGACAGACTAAGTGTTGAGCACCCAGCTCCATAAAGGGGTAGCTGTGGCCAAGGCTCACCCTCACACTTGCACTCGCCCGCGAATCCACTTAAGTGGTTGCCCATTTAGCCTTCTTTCACGTTGGGTCAGGATGACACCCAACCTACCTCACACTGTGAAGACTAAGTGGCCAGCCCAAGGCTGGGCACATGCATCACATTGATTAGCCCGAGAGTCCTATGCAGGCAAAGACATTATTACACCCTTAATGGGACTAATTTGTTGCCAACACCTAAGTGTAGAGGCTCCCTCTTGGGAAGGTGGACTTACCATGCCAACAAGCCTCAAAGTCTTGCCTTGGCATTTGGCACTCAACCTAGAGCTCCATCCCTAGCTTGGAAGAATCACGATGCTCCAAATCTAGGCAAGATTTGGACACGTGTATATAACAATATGTACAATCTCATTTTGCTTAGCATTCAATTCTATATATAATATAATAATTTGGTAGTCAAATCTTGAACCTGAATCATAATCAGTCCAGTTTAAGTGGTTTATCATGTTAAAATTAAATGTTTAAATAAAGCTATATTTTCTTTTGTGTAATTCTCATCAATTTGATCATAAAAAAAATTGCTGCGCATTGTGTTGCAGCAACATTTGGTTTGTTTTTGTTTTTAAATATTTTTTGTTACGAACCATCCTCGGCCCATATTTTGCCACATGGCCCTTACATTTGTTCCTATATAATTTGTTCAAATTCAAGTCCTGGCTCAAATTTTTGATTGCCATGGTGATTTTGACCATGGCTTTTCCAACCCTTTCGTCAAGAGCACTACAAGAGCATACACGGCTTCAAGCATTTAATTCAAACAAATTAACAATAAATCTGAAATTTGGAATTGCTCATGGCTCAAGCTCTTTCAAGTTTATTTCCTTACGCACTTACTGCAAGATAGGGTTTAGCATCTAATACAGAAAACAATACACCACATCCTTCACCCAGCTTCTCTGAAGTCCTTAAAAGGAACTCTCTATCCAGATGCACAATGATCATTTTCCTGGATTCTAGTGTTAGGTGTACAATGTTAAAGTGGTAGATTACTTGAGATGGGCTTTTAGAGGTAATTTGTGTTTCTCGCGTATTAGTTCTCTTGTGAATTTCAGGTTGCTATGCAATGCTATCAGCAGCAATCAAGAGGACACGGAATTGCTAGTTTGTGTGTTTTGAAATCTAGAAATTGTTAAAAGAAGCACTAGAAGATTTCACGAATAGATATTTGTATTATAAAGAAAGCAATTGAAAAATAGACAAGAGACAAGTGTATTTATTTCTGGTTGTTGGCAATTTCTATGGCTGAATTTTTTGGTGTCTCAAAATGGACAATAATATTTGCCTCATTCAATAGAAAGAACCTTGTTGGTTTTGAAGACATATAAATGGCAATTTTTTTTAGAGACTCAATAGCAAACTTGACCATAAACCCTTCATCCAAATTATAAATTTTATCCACCATTTTATCACACACTGTAACTCGATATTTCATCATGTCATTTGATATAATAGAATCAGTTATTGTAGTTGATTTACAAGGGATGGAACACCTTTTACACTTTGCACAAACAACAAAACCATCTTCTCTCTCCTCTAACATTATGAAAGAGCAAAATGAGCAAAGACTTTCAACTTGACTGAGGCTTTGTTAGTTGTCAGGGATGAAATATCCATTAATCTGTATAATTAGAAGTTAGAGTTGAAAGGAGATATAAACAACTTACATTACCTTGTCTTTAGAAGTGAGGCCATGGTGTGTTTTATGAACTTCATTGAACCTTTGAATTTCGTTTGAATCAACTAGTGGCAAAAATAAAGTACTTCCAGGTGTTGCTAAATCACCTGATATACTCATGCTTTTCATAATATTAAAAAAAAAACTTTGACATGTATCCAGCATATAAATCTGCTACAATATGATGATACTGCTCTTCATGCTCCAAATGCATATAGACCTGTGAAAATATCTTAGAAATAGAAAATTAAATAGTAAAAAACATTACGTCCAAAGGATTATCAGAAGAAGCAATCCTTATTTTAGGAAAAACACTAGTGTTGATTACAATAGCATGTATACCTAGGCAAAAAGAAAATCAAAACTACAGAAAAAAAAAAAAGGATTTCAAAACCATATGTAGATAAAATCTTCAGCTCAAGAATCTTGGTTGAATTTTCTTTTTCAAAGACAAGTGATTTAGGATGGTCAACTTTGTTCTCTTTGCTTGTGAAACTAGAAAAGATAAATCAAGAAATACTAAAGAATAAAGAGAAAAACCAAACCTTCATAAGAATTTGTTTCTGTTGACAAATCCTCAATGGGTGACAACTGAACAATATCCATAGCACAACCCAAATCTGACATATCTATGAGATTGATTAAACAGAATTACCTCTAGTTAATTTATACTAGAAAAAAGAGCCAAAAATAAACTAGACTTCACTTTTAAGAATCGAAAACAAAAAAGAATAAAAATTAAAATCTGTCAACTTGCCAAACTTAGGGTTAGGGCAGACAATAAACCAATTCCACAGGTGACAAACCTTTTCAACCTTTTCAACCTTTTCGTGCACTCGTTGTAAACATCCTCCAAGCTGAAGCTAGAAGCAGTCTGACTCCACTCCTTGGCTGCTACAATCTCCCTTCGTCCATCGCTTTAAAAAAGAGGAAGGAATAGGAATAGAAAGATTGTCGTTTGTTCACGTGTCCAAGTCAAAGCCCAGCATTTATGTCATGGTTTCCTCCAAAACTCAAGGTTCAGTCACCATCCATCAATTGAGCCTCAATTTGCTCTTCCCAACGACTCCTCTTTCAAAGTACTCTCCCTCCTCCCCCACTGCCCACTCGCATAATAGGGAGCCATATGGAGGAAGATCTAAGCTCCATCCATGGATGTGTTCCAGATTGATTAATTGATTCTGGGCAATCAATCAGTACTGCCATGGTTGGTTTTTGATCCTGGATCGTGGCTCTCAGCTCAAACCTCTAGGGAGAGGCAATCCTCAATCAATTCAATAGTCCAAATATGATTTTTTTGATGCTTCCCAAGGACAAGAGCAATCCATTGGAGCCAGTGGAGAATGCGGTGGCCGGGAACGATGATAGCATTGTGATTGATCTCAAGGGGGCCCTGCTCAAATCCCCGAGCTGGTTTCAATACTTCATGCTTGTCGCAATTGAGGCTGGGAGCCCCCTATGAGTGCTCCTCCTCTTTTTCATTCTTCCCTTCACATGGATCATTGGCTGCCTCGTCCATCCAGCCCTGGAGCTCCAGATTCTCTACTTCATGGCAGTGGCTGGATTGAGGTCCTCGGCAGTGGAACTTTGAGAGCTCCCTTGCAATTGCCATTCTGGACATAGAACCCAACTAATGCATTGTACATTACATGGTTTCTTTGGCTCATGCTCCAAAACCACACATTGATGATACAAAGTGGTTAGAAAAATTTATAAATTAACCACTGTTGGATAATAGAATATCCTAGAATATCCAAGCATATTTTAAGTATATTCATTACCATCCCAATCCACAGGTTTGCTTAAGCAAACCAAAAATCATATAATAGAACTATAAAATCTATAATATTGCAAAAGGATATTTTGTAATAATAGAAATGATTTTTTTTCATAAATTATCTTAATGAAAATTGAGGTAGAATGTTAGACCTAATGAATATGCAAGGATGTAAGTTCTATTGGGAAAATAGATATAATACTTTATAAGATCTATAACTATATATACATATATACATGTATTACCATTTTTGGGTAATATGCTAGTTATAGTAGTATAGTATATGGACATTCTCCAAGGGTCAATTAACATATTTATTCCCATATCCTTCCAATGTCATGCTATCATCAATTAAGTATCATCTAACATTATTTATATAGTTTTATCCTCTTTAAATTGACTTTCCCCCCTCTTTTCTCCTCTTTCCTTTCCTTTCATTTCCTCTCCTCTCCTCTTTCTTCCTCTGAGACATGATTACATGACTTTTTCTATTCTTAGTGTTTTACCATATTTTGTTGATATGGCGTATGATCATAATATAAATTGGAGAGTTATAAATGATTTAGTCTAGTTCTTGGAGGGTGTTAAAAAAATTGGGAAGACAATATTTACAAATTTGAATGAATTTTTACTGATAAGAAATTTGATTGTTTTAGAGATAGGTATGAAAAGAAATTCTCAACCTTTTCTTATTTTTCAGCCTTTGATATCTTCTGAAATTTTTAGTGTTTTTCCTCATTTACAACATTTCCTTTTCTTGGCACATTGATTATTTGTGATTTTTATGATTTTTATTCTTAATCTAATATTGAGTTGAGTGTTTTCCATTTTCCTTGTACTAATCTAGATGTTAAGTATGTGTATGAAGCATTCTTCCTCAATTTTTCATACTTTTTCCTCTTTATCTTAACACTTCAAACTTTTTTTTTTCTTTAGAGGGGGTATAGAGGACAAATAGGAGTCTTGCCCCAATGATGGAGTAAGGAAGTGGAGTGAGGACAA